TAGAGAAATACCGAGCAAGAATACTGGATAAAAAATACCACTCGGTACCATGCAGAGTACCGAGCAGTTCCGAGTGATATTAAATGAATACCCTAGACAAGTATTTAGAAAAGTATTAAGTGTAACACTGGATAAAAAAATACCGCTCGATACCATGAGGAGTACCGAGTTTGGTACCGAGCGCACAAAGTCAAAACTATAGACATGTTATTAGAGAAATACCGAGCAAGATTACTGGATAAAAAAAAAATGGCTTGGTACCATGCAGAGTACCGAACAGTACTAGCGACATTAAATGATAAACCCTAGACAATTATTTAGAAAAATACCGTGCGTAGTACCGAGCATTTCCCTTTTATGCTCCGTATAAAAATACATAATCCTAAACTGACTTACAAAACCCTAAAAAATAATACCATTATTTGACAAAACCCTAAAAAGTACCGACTGTAGTATCGAGCATGGTACCGAGCTAAGAAAATTTATAAAAAAAACTCTTCAGCGCTAGGAAGAAATTACAGACATTCGGCATGGTTCAACAACGAAAGTGATGAGGAAAAAAATGAATTCCAAACGAAGATGAGTAGTCCCCCGCTTAAGAGAGGGGGAGCAAGGTCATCTGAAAGGGTGCGAGTTTTAATTTGCAACGTTTCAGAAAAAAACTAATAAAAAAATGACTTTTTACCTTCGACCCGGGTTGGGTTGTCGGGCCTCGCTGTATATGGAAAAACACGTGCTAAATAAATCGAGCGGGTTCATCTGGTCGCAACGTGGCTTTCTCCTATTGGATTCCGGATGTATAGATGTGTCCGGTGACCGAACCCAATAATTTCCCCAAATTATTGGCAAAAATCAATGGTAGAAAGCTAAAGGTGCTCAAGAAAGCATTGCGTGTATGCACGTGTGATTGGTGGCTATAGGCAACAATCAATTGATTCAACAACCTACATTTCTTCGATTGAATCTTTCTACCCATGTAGTGTGGTTCATACATTTTTGGGGTCCCCTTAATCTTTTTTTTTTATTATTAAATGTTTCAAACTCTATTTTGACACATTCAGAGCATAGAGTCTCTACAACCAATTTTGAGTAATTTTGGACATTTACCAGTAAATTTCTTTGTAAATTTCACTCCAATCATTACAAAAAATTTAGGGAAGGCAAAATTATGATTGAAGATAATTTATTTGATTCACGACCCTAATAGAAAGTCCACATTGATGTCAAGGAGCAATCACATCTTGTAAATTTTTTAAATTATAATTTTATGCTGCAAAATCTTTTAAGAAGCTAATTATATATTTTTGGACAATACAAATCCTAACGCTAAAAAATAGAGGCAATTTCTATGTAACTAGAAAACCCACTTGACCAGGCATGAATTTCAAGACAATGTATAACTAAGAAACTTTTAAAATTTCATTGGAGATCTTTAGAGTTTTAATTTCAACAAATTTATTGTCAAACTGAATATCTTGATGAGACAAACTATTGACAATAAAAGTGATCAAATTTGATTTCAAATGACCTGAAATCAAATACTTAAAACATAATTAAATTTTTGTAATAATAATCAGGTAACAAAATGATCTCTAAATCTTTCATAATCATGGTCAAATTGAGCATCTCAATAAGGAGAATTCAACAAGCGTATGATCACTTAATTCTAATATCATCAAAGCAACCAAATGCTAAGAGAATAGTTTAAGATCAAGCGAACCAATAAGGGACATCTAATAGAGTATTTTAAAATTTAGCTATACTTAAAAATAGTGACACTCAGACGCTCACAACTATCTTGTGCAAGACTTCTTAGTCTCTCAATAAGAACTTTTAAATATGCAATAAATGTTCTATTGAAAATAGCTCTCATTCCACAAGATTTTTTCAACTTACTTTCTCCATAAAATTTGTCATAAACAGTTAATGCCAATTATATTATGTCGACACCTTTTCCAATCATAAAAAGGTATCATCAATAGCCAATGATAAACATTACTGGCTTAATTTTAGTTGTGGCGTCAAACCCCATAGTTTTTCTCTTTTTTATGGTTGTTCACGTAAAAATAATGATGTCTCTTGCAGCCATCTTTTATTTGTGTGTGTGCAGATCTCTATACAATTTTATAATATTAAACACACACTCTCTGATACTATCAGAAATTTTCTATTATGCAACAAAAGCCAAATATGATGATTATGATCACATCAAATACCTATATTCATGGATTAATCATTCCAAAAAGTGTTCACATTGGATTTCACATTAAAGAAAGGAATATATGGGAGAGTTGACATTTAGAATAGAAAATATATAAATGTTAGGGCAAATCAAATTAAGACTGACAACAATATATAATAATTTTTTTTTAGTACTTCAATATTAATCTAAGACATACCACATTAGGCCTAAGAAGTGTCTTACCCAACAACTTTTTTGTTATCTTAAAATTTTCATGAGATTTGTCTAATATCTATTTTCTTGTATTGTACTCCTCTTAAAGCATATATAATAAATTTAAGACTCATCTTGATCAAAGTTTTGGTAAAGATATCTTTAGAATCTTCTATTGTGTAGCTGGTGGTTGGCCTCTTGCCATTATTTTTTTTTGTTTGGTCTATTATTGAATACCATTGCGCTCAATAGTTGGAGAGATTATTCTGTACAGACGCCGAACGCAGCTCTACATCCGGATACCAACCAAAATGAGCAACGTCAGCAATACCGAGCCTTGATACTGAGCAGTACCGATACTCAGTGCCGCGGTATTGCGGTACCGATACTCGGTGCCACGGTATTGAGGGATACCGAGCCACGGGCTTAAGTATCTGGACGGGTTCCGCTTCCGCACATTATAATTTTTCCAATGGCTGCCGGTGGTGGTCCTTAGAACCATACCTCTTTTGATTTTTTTTTTTAATTTTTGTTTTGAATGATGAGAACCAAAGCTCAATACTACTAAAAAAATCCAGAAGTCACAATACAGAATGGAGAAACCATAAGCTGATATAGTTAAGATTGTGTGGAAAAAAAATAAGAAAAACACACAGAGACATAAACCCCACAGTCCAACAAAGGAAGTGATTGATCTTGAAAAGACAATCAAGTAAAAGAGCCAATCTACAACATAGAGTTGAAAGCAGTAAGATCACATTCCTTATCAATTGTTGCCATTGTTACTTTGAGAATCTTGATCTCTGCCATTAGGTAGGAAATGAGCAAAGCTTGAGATGTCTTTGTTGAGCATGTTCTCTAAGTGTTTTTGTACAGCGATTGGTTCTCTTTAGTTTGTTATTACTAATTAATAAGCAGTAAGATCACATTCCTTATCAATTGTTGCCATTGTTACTTTGAGAATCTTGATCTCTGCCATTAGGTAGGAAATGAGCAAAGCTTGAGATGTCTTTGTTGAGCATGTTCTCTAAGTGTTTTTGTACAGCGATTGGTTCTCTTTAGTTTGTTAATGTCTATCTCATGGAGTAATTGTGGAGTGCTAGGTTTCGTTTGGGACAATTTTTTTTACTGTTTTCAAAAGCAATTTTCTAATACAAAATTTTTTGATTATGTAAATTTTTGCGCTAAAAAGTTATTTTAAAAAACATTAAGAAAGCTGACCTAAAGTTTTAATGGTTTTGTATTGCGGTGATTTTTTTTTGCTTCATTTGGCACTTTTTTTAGTTGGCTTGATTTTTAGATAGTTTTTATTATATTTTTAAAATTTACGACAGGATGTCATTAAGTATTTTGCGTAGGAAGTGTTTAATGGTCATTGAATTTACACAGAGATTAGTGTAGCCTTTGGATTAAGCCTACCCTAATGCAGATCATATTTTCACCCCTCAGTTTTTGTACTTGAGTTTTTTGACTACGATATGCTTCTTTCGTACAACCATTCATTGTTCCATTACAGATAAAATTCAAACTTAAGATTTTCTTTAAATTTTTCTTAGCCCTTATCATACAAACTAGCAGACTCTCACAACTCGTTGAAAAAGAGACATTAATTCTCTTTATTATTAATTTCGCTCTATACCTAATGAAAATAATTAAATTTACGAAAATAAATATTCAATCGTGCCATTATTATTATTATTATTATTATTATTAAAATCTAATAAATAAATTTTGAATGACAATTTATAGGTGAGAAGCAGCCATCAAAGATTGGCGTGGAGATATAATCTCCTTACCGGAATTTAAAATTTATTATTTATATATATATCATTTAAACATAATAGTTTTTATCACAATTATTGAATTATGTCATTGTGTCGTTGTTTCATCATCTACTCATTGGACATGTTGATGCCCTAGCGAGTGAGCTTGTTCTGTCTATTGCTTTTATTCGGTGAGCTCTGCCCTAACTTGGCTAATGATGCCCCCGTTTGTGAGATCCCATGTAATTTCTTCAACTAAGCCAGTTAATGTCATCATTTGTGAGCTCATGACGATTGTGCCGACTCTTATCAAAATTCGTAAAGCCTTAAAAACAAATAAACGATGAAATCACACAAAATCTCGCATTCAAAGATATCAAAAGAATGCATCAAAGAATTAATACAAGAGATATCAAATAAATGTCTAATGAAATCAACTTATTATTTTTAACAATTTAATATACACACAAAAGTAAGCAGCATCCGATTATGGTTTTATTTGAAATAAAATTTGTAATTGTTTTTTAAAATAACTATTTAATAAAAATAATTTAAATTTTATATTAAAAAATATTTTAAAAAATTAATAAAAAAAATCATCCCAAAAAAGCCATATGCAGATGGTCGCTAACTTAAAGCAGCAGACGGCCCGCCCGAAAAGACCTGGTTCTTTGCGCTTCATGGATTTGATTTTTTTTTTCAATAATAATTATTTATTTGATTCAAACAAAAGCAAGCGCACCCGCACCATCCCACCAAAAAAACCAGTCTTTTTGATCCGCTTCATAAGACAAAACAGGAAACAGCTTCCGTCATTAATGGTTCTCCTTCAGTCCTTCTGTGGAAATAGCTGTCCAAAAGCAAACGGACAAGTCAAAAGCTCTCTCCTCCCTTAGAAGTTTTTAACATGTTTCGCTCTCTCAGTGCTGGTACCAATGCTTCTCTGCATCTTCTCTCTTTCTCTCTCGGGCGGTTCTGGTTAAGAGGGAAGCTTTATTAGGGGCATGAAAATTGTCATTTCTTCTTTCTAGAGATTAGTATATTTAGTCCTTTGTCTTTCTTTCATTATCCTTTCACTCTGCTTCACCTCCTTCCCCTGCTGTTCTCTGCTGAAGCGGGTTTTATTTATTTTTCTATTCCTTGGATTCCAAGGGAAGCCACTCCTCTCTCTCTCTCTCTCTCCCTCCCTCCCCCCTCTTATAGCTCAGGAGGCTTGGATTCCTGGAGAAGCTTGCTACAGGAGAGCGATGAGTGTTACGAAGTTCATCAAATGTGTTACTGTGGGAGATGGAGCAGTGGGGAAGACCTGTATGTTGATCTGTTACACGAGCAACAAGTTTCCCACAGTATGTAATGTTGAAAAAAAAAATCCTTCTTTTCTTTGATAGCCGGCATGACAAACAAGAGAAGAAAAGAAAAAAAAAACCTTTTTTTTATTTAAATTTTTGATAGGTCACATTGATCTATTTGGTGTTCTTTTCTATGCATTCTGTTGTTTTTGGTGCAATACGTGAGATCTCCTCTCATTTGTTTCTTCTCTATTACTGTTTTAGATTCCTTGATATTTTTGCCCAATATTTTACATAAAACTAAAAAATTATTCTTTTAGATCTTCTTCTTCTTTTCCGGCATGAATTTCTCAGATCTTTGCATGTTAGCTTCAGTTATTCTGAAAAAGTTGTAAACTTTGCTTATCACATACCATTTAAATTCCATTATATTTTGATTATTGAAAAGTGATTTAAGGCCTTTATTCATATTTTTCTCTGTTTAGGATTATATTCCTACTGTGTTTGACAACTTCAGTGCAAATGTTTGTGTTGATGGAAGCATTGTCAACTTAGGGCTTTGGGACACTGCAGGTATTTTGATTGATTATCTCTATATCGGACATTTGAATGCTTCTGCAGCTCTTATGATTTTTATGTTTTTTCATGTTTGGTTCTTAGGCCAGGAAGATTATAGCAGATTGAGGCCACTTAGTTATAGAGGAGCAGATATTTTTGTTCTGGCCTTTTCTTTGATCAGTAGGGCAAGCTATGAGAATGTTCTGAAGAAGGTAATATTCACTTTATAGAATTCCTTTTGTGTTTGTATTTTGGTTTATAATTTTTATCTTAGTATTGCAAAAAGCTGTAAATTGGTTATTCTCGGATTGCCTAAAAGTCTAAGGATTTTGATTTGATAGCTACTATTGAAGTAGGATTTTAAACATATTAACATTTCTTTGGTTATCTTTAAACCAAATTCTTATTTTAAGCTTGTTTTTTTTTTTTGTTTAAATCTGATATCTTTACTGAGTTTCTAGTAGTAATAGTTCTCTTTGTTTATTAAAAGTTAAGAACCTGACCAGTTCTTTTATGTTTAAGAAGGATATCTAAACGGCTTAGGCAGTTTGTATGTGAATTAAAGGTTCTATGTAGGTTTTGGATTTTTTTTTAAATTTCAAGATTTTATCTAACTGGTTCTACTGATGCTTCAATCTACTTGTGGTATTTTCCAACCAGTGGATGCCTGAACTTCGTCGTTTTGCACCAAATGTTCCAATTGTGCTTGTTGGAACTAAATTAGGTAAATGAACTTTAAATTTGAGTATCTATTTTCTTAAGATCAATGGATTTTTTTTTTGTTTTGTTTTATGAGCAATGTTTTTAACATATGATAGCTCCTTTAATGTTGTTTTATGTAATATATAATTTCAGATCTACGCGATGACAAAGGGTATCTTGCTGATCATCCTGGCGCTGTCGCAATCACTTCGGCACAAGTAATTCTTATCACTTTGTATAGATAGCTCATCACTCTCATTTCCATTGATGGCAATGTTCTCAGTCTTTTTTTTTCATATGTTAGGGAGAAGAACTCAGGAAACAAGTTGGGGCTGCTGCATACATAGAATGCAGTTCAAAGACACAGCAGGTATCTACTAAGATTAAGGCTTTGTTTGGGAGTTGGGACAACTTTCTTACTTTATTTTAAAGTAGATTTTTAATTATTAAACTAAAAATTTTTATACTAGAAAGTTGTTTTAGAAAGCAGTAAGAAAGTCATCCCAAACGAAGCCTAAGAAATGATTTCAATTTTTAAGTATCTTCTTTGAAATATTTCATAGTAGACCAATTCTCATATTGGTGAAACAAACTACTAGTAATTTTTCCGCTGGGTGGTGTCTTGGCTGACTAGCTATTCTCTTTCTATTCCATAAGAAGTTTTGTAACACCAGTTGAACAGTCCTATTCACAGCTTTGTAGCTTTATTTTTTTAGTTCGTTTTTTAATTCTAGTTCTTGGTTCAATCTTGACCCCTGTATCATAAAATTTGGTTCTGAAGTGCTGTGAAAGTAGTGCAAGAAATGTTGATGGAATTTCGTGCTTCAATACCAAATAACACAATTTGCTAAATGATGTGCAGTTGTAATTTTTGTATTGTTTGAGGTGTATGATTTCTGTGCTGATTTCTTGTCATAATCTTGATTTTGTTAGAATGTCAAATCTGTTTTTGATACTGCAATCAAAGTTGTTCTCCAACCTCCAAGGAAAAGGGAGATTTCTAAGAAGAAGAAGAGGCGGAGTTCTGGTTGCTTGATGATGTAAGTGCAAGAGTTTTATTATTATTATTATTATTTTTTGCACTTATTATGAACCTTTGAATTATGATGATTTGTTTCTAGATCTCATGTGTTTCTAAGTCATGATTCCTGCTTGATTTGGCTATTTTTCTTGTAATTATGCAAATTTTGACTCTTATTCGTGTACATTAATGCTTTAACGCAATAAGATTGGATTGATTGGTAATGAAGATTATTTTTTTTAATTGATCTGAGTAGAGTTATTTTTTCAATTTAAATTATGAATTATGCATTGCTTGATATCTCATGTATTATCATATAGTATGTCATATATGTTAAATATATGTAAGGCTGTAAGCTTGGTGATTAGTAAAATTGTTTGTTAAGGAAGATTTTGTTTTTGGAGAAGGGAAGATGACAAATGCTTGAAGTATATAAGCTACAAGTTACCGTTAACGATCTTAGGTTAATGGATATTGCTTTATTAGGCGAGCCGAACTGAAGGTCCTTTATTACAATAAATGGCCATCATTTTCTGTCAAGATCTTCAGGGAAAAGAAATTCAGAAATCAGCCACCATGTAAAATTTTGGCTGGGAAAGCCTTCTAATTGTTCCATTCTTATTAAATGTGTTAAATATGTGGTTTGGCCTTTCTTTATTTGTCAACATTGAATGGGATGTAAATAGCCAAAAATCTTAATTTCTATAAGGATGAGTAGATGGATGAAGTGTCCCTTGCTATGGCATATTATTATCTCTTTGCTTATGCAGTTATGCTAGAAGTAATACACTTTCTGTCAGTTCTCACAATCTTGATCCTAGATGATCATTATTGTTTTTTTCATTCAAAAAATAGAATTCCATTGATGTTTCTTCTCCACAAATGTCATTTCTATTAGTTTAGTTGATATTCTCTGATGAAATATTTCTAGCTATGGATTTTTCACTAAGCGCTTATTTTCTTTCCTTTCTTTTAGAGGAGTGAATAGATCTAATATTTGTTGGATTTGGCATCCTCTGACCCCATTAAAAATTTCTGATGTGGATTTTGTCTATGAGGAAATTACTCTGCAAAACTCTTCTTCACAATTTGGATATTCTCCATAGAATGACTCGTTTTATGTGAAAAGATGAAGATGATTTTCACATTACTTCAATTGTTGGATTATTAACGAGATTTCAAAGAAGGTTTATACATTGCTTGGTATTCGAAAAGATGGTTGAAAGATTTAAAGTTTTGTTCTCTGCTCCGCTGGACAAACTCATTAAAAATAAATTTATTAATATCTGGCACATTTTTTTCCATAGCTAGAAAATCTAGTGATTTCCTTGTTTCTACTGTATAATTTGAGGGATTCAGTTCAATACTTTTGATTTTTTCTACGATTTGTCGTACTCTTTTTGTTACATTTATAATTGTTTCAAGCAAACTATATAGCTTGAATCATTAAAATCAATTTCAATGAAAATATAATTAAGATAAGATATTTGCATTTTAAACTCAAATAGTCAGTGACATTAATTAGACCATACAAATGATCGATGCCAAAAATGAGATCAATAAACGGATCCCAAACATGTGTGGCTCCCTATCTCTAGAAAGGCACAACCCAACTCGGACACAAAGGTCCATTTCTCACTTGGCCATAGGGCCACAATAGTGAAAAAAGGACAATGACAACTCGATTGCCATCTGACCATATGTCTAACGGTGAAGAAAAGAATGATCCACAATCCGACCATAGGTTTGACGGTGAAGAAAGAAAGGATCACACTATTTTTTTTAGGTTGACTTCAGATAGTCTGTTTTTATTTTATTAGCATCACTTCATACTGAAGCTTTAAGTATTTGTTGATTTTGATATTATTACCGGTTATGGATGTAGATTTTAATCTTGTCGATAATTCTTCATAAACGTGCTAATTGATTGGACTCAAGTTGTCTCCATTTGAACTTTCTCGTGAGTTATATTGTTGTGTTTGGAATGCTTTAGTACTCGTTGGAGATCTGATTACAAGTTTAGTTAATTGTTTTTTTTATTCCGGTCAAAATTAGCTCCAGGTCTTTTATAGTGATTCTGATTTGAGCTAGACCTACTTATAGGCTAGCTTGATTTAATCTTGATTTGTGTTAGAATTTATCTTCTTTACTTGATATGTGCATATATATTCATATTCATTTTGTTTACTCTAACCTCAATTGTAAAAAAAGAAAAAGAAAACAATTTTAGATTTAAATCACTGTAAAAAGAGCATAAATCTACTCCATTGTGTTATTGTGTTTCAATGCTTCACCAGTTATAGCATCATTTTGCTGTCAAAAACTCTTTTTATAAATAACTAATGAAAAATGATAGTTTGTAGACATTTTGTTAACTCTACAAATTTGAATTACATGAGATAGATGAAGTTATATAAAAATTTCATTCATATGTCGAATTCAATGAAATTGGAAGCTGTCAAATGTTAAATATAGTAAATATATGTGTAGATTCATTCGCTTCGATATTAAATTTGATGTAATATGAATCATATATCATTTTTGTGGTTTAATTTTGAAATTATAAAAGGAAGATATGTGGCGCTTCTATATTAAATTTGATGTAACATGAATCATAACTAATTCCATAAAATTCCAAATTGGACAAACTAAAAAGCATTCAACTCTAATCAAGGCCTAATATTTATTAAAAATATTAGGTTTCCAAAAATCAGCCTAAATAAAAAAGTCAACTTTTCGGTCAATCGTAGTTCTCTAACCCTGGTCCGAAACTTCCAAAATTCATAACTTTGCCTAGAAAATTTCAAATCCAATAAACCAATAGTCTAACTACTCCTCGTAAGGCCCAATATTTAATTAAAATGCTAGAACCCCCAAACCTAGCATGGTTCCCATAGTGATCATTTGGACCCCTTTAACCTAGCATATAGGAGGACCCTGGACCTTCAAAAATTTGCTAATGCAATTTAAACTTCAAATATAATTTCTTTGGTTTAATTTTGAAATATAAAAGGAAGATATGTGGCACTTCTTTGTTTGGGATGTCTAATGGATTGATTTGAGCACTTGGTAGGAGTTATTTAATTTTCTTTATCATTATAAAGATCATCTTAAAAAGAAAGCAAGTTGTTAAGTGGAACAAAATAACCTCTTTCTATTCTTAATGTTCATCAATAAATGTATAATCCTTTGCTAATTGCTAATGTGATACACTCCAAATTATTTAGAAATACATTTGTTTGTACATCTTTGCCTCAATATTCCATTTGTTTAATGCAAAATTTATAATTAATGTGAAAAGGGTGATGAATGGAGTTTAGAGAGCTTATAATACAAATATTTTCTCTTTTGTTGTCTTTTCTTATTAGAGAATTGATTCTGATGATTAATGTAAGCATCTACCTTTAGTATTTCATGGCAGTATGATTTCTTTTAATGATTTAATATCTTCTTTTAATACATTCATGGATGTCTAAGGAAACACCGAAGAAATTTAAACACACATAAATAACATATTTAACTATTCTTTCAAAATGAAAATAAAACAACAATAAACTCTTCCTACATTTTTTTAACCTTATAAAAGAAGTAAACGACAGTCCAACCAACCCTCCTTATTTCATTTCTCGCTCGAGTAGTTGCATCTTGCTTGATTTCTTGAGGTATGATCGGCCTTAGTTGTTCGGTTTCTTGAGGGATGGCCGACCCTACTTTCTTGGTGGAAGAAGCAAATAGCCCTCATATTTCTTGCTTGAAGGGGGGCAAACAATAGATGCTCGGCTGGCATAGGGGTGACAGTTGAGTCGGACTGAGAAGGTTGGCATCCTTGCTTGGGCACAAAGAGTTGAAGGCTTTGGTCCTTGGCATCATGAGGAGAGAATCGAGTGAGAGAGGGGAAACATAGGTCGGCGGCTGGAGGTGGAAGCGTGAGGGATTTTCGTAAGAAAGGAGAGACTTGCGGCTATGCGTGAGAATGAGAGTGAATCGTGTATCAGATGGCCCTAGCCATCTTTGCTTAAGCCTGTGAAAAAATGAGTGGAAAAATGAAATCCTTCAACCAATGGTTCAAATTACATCTCATTTTGATGCCTTTGATCTTTAATGATATCAAATGATGTTCTTTTGGATTAATTTCAACTACAGGATCAAAATATTACTTGATTTGGGAGGATATGAAAAGGTGATGTAGAATAGTTTTGTATGTAAATTTAATAGGAATTAATTTTGAATGAAGGTTTGTATTTTTTTTTAATTTTTACTTTATATATATATATCATATATGTTAACTTTATATTTTATATTTGAATTTAATTTTTTTTATTATTATATTTATTTAATTTAAAATCAACATGAGCAAATCACCTTTTTTATTTAAAAAAAAACAATTTTAGTTCTCTCCTTGACACACATCAAATGAATACCCAATTTGAGCACGGATTGACTCATTTGATTCATCTCGACGAGGCGGATGCAACAGTGCAATTTGTTTTGCTAGATAAAACCCTGATTGAAAAAAAAAATAAGTAGGAGATTAATACATGCTTGAAAGACTCAATTGCCTGAATTCACATAAAATATTCATCAAATCGGCATCGACCTGATCACCGGTGTGGTAAAATAGAAATCTTCTTTCAAAATTAATTGATATTATGCTCGCGTATAAAATTTTTTTACCTCACCTTTTAATATCCTCTCAAATCAAACAATTTATTGTTCTAGTGGTTGAAGTTCATTCAAAAGGATAGCATTTGATATCAACACTTAGATCAAGAACATCAAAAGGAGATGTAATTTAAGGCGTTGGATGAAGGGCTTCATTTTTTCACTCATATTCTTTCACGGGTTTAAGCAAAGACAGTTAGGGCTGATACAAGATTCACTCCTCTCATTCTCACGTATAGGCGCAAGTCTTTCCTGCCTCTCTCATTCCTCACGAAAATCCCTCATGTCTCCACCTCTAACCGTAGACCTATCCACCCCTCTCTCACTTGATTCTCTCCTCATGATGCCAAGGACTGAAGCTATCAACTCTTCGTGCATGAGCAAGGTCGACCATCTTCTCCGTACGACTCAACTGCCGCCTCTACGCCAGCCAAACATCTTTCGTCCAACTTGTTGTCTTGTCCCCCTTCAAGCATGTTGAAACATGTGGGCTATTTGGTTCTTTCATCAAAAAAGTATGGGCCGGCCAGGCCATCTCTCAAAAAACCGAGTAGATAGGTTGGTCATTTCTTAATGCTAAAAAAAATGTAAGAAGAGTTATTTGAGGTTTTATATTCATTTTGAAAGAATAGTTAAGTATGTTCTTTATGTATGTTTAAATTTCTTCTGTGTTTCCTTGGACAGATATGAATGTATTGAAAGAAGATACTAAATTATTAAAAGAAATCATGCTATCATGAAATACTAAAGATAAGCACTAATCATCAGAATAAATTCTCTAATAAAAGAAGTCACCTTAGTTAATTTTTGCTTTACTTAAGCCTAACTTTACTAGTGCAAATGGTGCTACCGATTTAATGCGTGTTATTCACACATGAAAATCCACAAATTCACATTTACCTATTCAACTTTTTTTATTTTACATAAATGAAACCCTCTAACTATCCGTGTTGATGTTTACTAAAAGCACAGCCTAAAGATTTACACAATAACAAAGTGTTAGAGTGTGTTTTAGATGTAAATTTTAATCAAAGGTTGATATAGGTAATTGTTAAGTGGCCTTGTGTTTGAACTTTGAACTTCCCATGTCTACATGAAGGAGATTGAGGGTTTGCCATTTTGCAGTCTCTATTTCACAACCTTTAAATGTTCATTTATGAGTGGTAGAAGATGCACCGCTAAAGTACATGTATCAATTTAAGAGATATGCTATGGAGGTTGTCAAGAGCAATGCTAAAAAGTTATTAAACTGTCATAAAGGCATTCTCTCTCTCTCTCTCTCTCTCTCTCTCTCTCTCTCAATCTCTGTTAGTAACATCAAATCAATACTTTGAGCTCTCTCTACCAGTTTCTAAAATTGATGTCTAAGAACTAGGAAGGGTAAATGATATATTTGAGATATGATATGGATAGAGTAGCACAAAATAAGTCCAAAATCTCATACATCAATGAGTAGATAGATAAACTTATGAGAAGCTTGTAAATTTTCTAAGAGAATGCTAGAAAAGTCATTAAGCTCTCTCTCTCTCACACACACTTTCTTTATCTTTCTCTTAGTAAAAAAATGTCAAGATTTCTTTTAGGTTCTCTCTCTTTTTTTTTTTAATTGATGCCGACGAATTAGAAATGAGTAATGATATATTTGAGAGATAATGTGAATAGAAGTCATGCAATCCTTAGAAACTAATCTAATGAGTAGGTATTAATGATGATCATCATCTTAAATTTACATACTTTTTTTACTTTATAGCTATACAAATTATAATGTTGTGCTAAAATGACACCTAGGATTTTGCACACCATGTATGTATTTTTGTAGTCTAAACTTGCAATTCTAATGTGCATTGTTTTCTTCTCTTTTGAACTCTTCAGGAATTTGATATGTGGAGGAACCTGTGATGCCTGAGACAAGCGGCAACTGATTATTGCAGGCTTTGTCTATCAGTAAAACACTTTTCATGACTGAAGGTAGGAACTTCTTTTTGGAAAATAGTAAGCTGAGAAGCATTTTGTTGTTTGATAGGCTGAACTTTTGGATCCCTTTGCTTAAAATGTTAGCAGTTTGGTTCTTTCTATAATGCTTTATAGTTTGTACTTTTTCGTTTCTTTTAGGCATATGAAATACTTCTCATACTAATCTGAATATCAATCTGCTATTGGCACTTGATAGATATGCTTGACATGTTCAGAGTTCCCATTTATGGAGCTTTGCAATCATCATCTTGACCATGGATGGTCATGAAGTAACTGAGAAATTATAAGGAAAAATATGATGAATATATATAAAAAAAGTTATTAAATTACTGGAAAAGAGTAGTAACAGTACTCGAGCTTCGTTTAGGGTGAAATTATTTTGTGCGGTTATGAACGCCGTATGGAGGCGAATCAGAATGCGCTATGTCACCCGTTTGTTGTGTACTGCGGTTGTGTAATGCTATGTATATAGTGATGTGATACATTCTGATTCGCCTCCGGGCAGTTCGGTGTCCGCACAGAATAAATTCTCTTGTTTATGACGGTTTTCTTTTTGCTTCTTAAAGCAGTTTTAAGTAGTAAAAAAATTGTCTCAAATGATGCTTTAAGATAAACGAGCTATTAGAGGGTGTTTTCACATATTCTGAACCTTTGCTTTATGAATTTAATTGTTTTGTTTTATCATTTTTAAGAGCATGCATTACAATTTTTATGTCTTATATTTTGTATGATATTTTTTGTTTATTCATTTTAGATTTTTTTGGTAATATTTCTTTGTTTGTTGTTGCAAACTAATTGAAAATTGTTAGTGAATACTGATAGAATTAATTATATTTTGGATTCTAAATGTTTCTAAAACAAAATAATTTTTTTTACAAAATCTGGAAATTCATATTTATCAATTATTTATTATAAAATATAATATAGGAAAATTAAAAGGTTGATTATTGGCATATTTATTATTTATAGAATCAATCCAAAAAATATATTTTTTTAATTTCAAACATACTTTAGGATATATGAGAAATTAACATCTATTAGGCCATTCCATTTGTTGATTATTATATGCCCCAAAATTTTTCTTTAGTTTTTATTCATCATAGAAAATTTTAAACAAAAAATGAATAATTTTTGGGGGTCATTTTGACTAGTTCAGTAGTTGTTAATATAATTTACTCTTTCAAGATAAGTTGAAGATAAGTTGATTAATCTAATTTAAATTTATTTAAATACAAAATATGATAAATCTATTATAAATAATATATAATTATTTTATGCATTAATGATTTATTTTAATAGGGCAACACAATTTTATGAATTAATAAAAATTTTAGGGAAGCTTAGTCTTTTAATAAGTTATTTTAAAAACCAAAAAAAGGAAGTTGTTGCGTCCTGGATATTCGAGTCGATAGGGAAATGTATGGTTTAACGTTGTAGATTTATACGAAGATCCAGCATGCAAATAGTAAAAGAGAATGAGTAAACGTTTATAATAGACATCAAGATTTTTATGTGGAAAATTTTAAAATGGGGGAAAACCATGAGGCCTAACTTAGTTTAAATGAATCAATTATTATTTGCAAGTTTAAATCAATTATTATTTGCATTCGATTATAAATAAGGTCCTTGGTGAAAGGCCTTGGCTTGATTTGATGTAATAAATATAAATCATATAATGTGTACTACATTATGGGACTTGAAAGAATCACTATTGAAATGTTTGCTTGATCGATATAACCATAATTAGTGGGCGACGAAGGTCGGAGAGACTATGATGATGGTCGGAGGGATCGTAGTCGGCGGACAATATTGGTGAGAAAAGATCGTTGTCTTGCGATGGAGGTCAAAAGGACTATATTATGGCCATGGAGGTTGGGAGGACAATAGTCGGCGATGGGTAGAAGTTTGGCATTATATAGAAGTCTAACGAAAGTCCGGCGAAGGGTGGAAGCCTGGCGTCGGGTAGAAATCCGACGAAAGTTCGGCTACGGGTGGAAGTCCGGTAGAAATTTGGCGACGAGCAGAAGTCCGACTTCAGATGAAAATTTGATGTTGAGTAGAAGTCTTACAAAAGCCCAGCAATGGGCAGAAGCTTGTCGTCATATGAAGTTTCGTGTCAGGAAGAAATCCAATGACTAGAGGAACTTCAGTGTCGGGCAGAAGTTCGACGTTAAGTAGAAGTCCGACATCGGGTAAAAATATGGCGACGAACATAAGTCCGACATCGAGTAAAAATCAGGCTACCGGTGGAAGTCTGACGTCAGGTAGAAATTCGTTGACGGAGAGAGGTCCGGTGTCAATCGTTGGCCGAGCAGAAATCCAACGTTAGTTAGTGGTCGCTCAAAAATCCGGCGTCAATTGGTAGTAGGGAAGAAATTCAACGTTAGTTGGTAGCCAAACAAAAATCCGGTGGTGGTCGAGGAAGTCTGGTGGGAAGAGAATTCTCCTCTCTCTCTCTCTCTCTCTCTCCCTCTCGCTCCCCTTCCTCCCCCCCCCCCCCCCCCCCCCCCCTCAAGTTTTTTTAAAGTGGCATGATCATTAAATAAAAAGAAGATCAAAGGTAAATTGTGAGAGGTTTGAATGGACGGTTGTTGTTGAATCCTTTGATCATGGACTACTTACTAGGCATTTGAATGTCTTAATGATACAAGAATTTGTCGATCTTAGGTTTGTTGGATTCGTCTCGTCGAGCCGCTCAATTCGACTATAAGCATGCCACGTTTGGAAATTGTTTGTTAATCCAAATTATGGTTTGAACCTTCCAAATATACTTCTGGTCTTTGATTTGGACTCATTTGTGCTTGGATTGAGTCGAATTTGGTGATGTTGGGTTCGTATTTTCAAGAAGTTCAGTTCGACTATAAGTTTTTTTTTTTTTTTTGAAATTGGAGTTCAGATGGCCACCGTTGATTTTACATCGAGATTCATGCCCGATCAAGAAAAGTTTTTGATGATATATTCCAAACGAAATCCAAGAAGAGAACACCTTTATCTCTGAGCTATTAATTATAATTAGAATACACTAATAATTAATAGCTAACAAAATTATATCTTTTTTGTGCTCCCCAGTCCCCACAATGCATAAGATAAATAAGTGGATGGCCAGGTGAATCGAATTCCACATGCGCACACATTGCCTCCATGTGGTCTTGTGCACTCTCCTGTATGGGCTTGCAAGCATATATCTCAATTATTCAATGTGGTCACCTAACTGTTCAGAGAAGAATTATGATGTGACGTGTCATCCGGTACAGACCGGTACACAACACCGCAACACAGCAAAAAAATGACGCGGTGCATCTCTATTCGTCTCTGGATATCTTCTGTTGACTGCACAAAATAATTTCACCAAAAAATTGATATAAAAAATATTTTTTAAGTTAGTGTAGAAATTAAATTTTTTAACATAAAAATTTCTTAAGAATAATAAAAAAGTAGCGGTTAATGTTGTTTAAAAAATAAAGCAATAAAAATATTATCCCAGCTAAAATTTTAGTGAAATGATTTGAAACATATTAATTAGTAGACAAAATTATTTTTAAAAATTTATAAATTTTAGTCACATATTTAATATTTTACAAACATGTAATATTTCATTTGAATATAAAATCTTTTAAGTAGAAGATTAACAAAAATCCATATTACTTAAATGCTGAGATGTTGACAGTAGAATTATACAGGCGACAGACGACAATAAATCCCCCTCAGCTCCGCAACTATATTATATCTTCCCTTATTTAGGAAGCAGCGTGAGTATATACGGCATGTTTTTCTTCTTCTTCCCCATTGCCATTAATGAATGCCACAGCTCTGACAAGCTTCAGCCCATAAACCTGAAGCTGCTCCCGCTACAGCAGCTGTTATTTAATTACGTAATAAATGCAGCTTGTCGTCAACAATTACTTGTTAGGGGCGAGTTGTTTCAGCATTAATATCTGCAACTGGTTGGAATCTGTAAAAAAATCTGAATTTAAGAGAGCTGCTTCATAGTCCTGTATTCAAGAAATTATTTTGGGTGGATGTTGAATGCAATTTATTATTTGGAGATCAATTAGAATTTGTCATGTCAGCAATAGAGAGTTCGGTGTCGAGCAGTACCGAACTAAGATATCGAGTTGTGTACCAAGCAGGAGGTGACATGGCGCATTATGACTGGTCTCTGGATCACGTTCGACGTCTGCGCAGAATAATTTCGCCATTATGTATTCGGTATTCATACCTGCACCCACTCATGTATCTAGTATGGGTACACCCACTCATGTATCTAGTATGGGTATGTGGATGACCTCTCCGATGGATATGGGCAGGTATTTAAGTATATCGGAGGATAAATCTATTTATATTACGAATTTTTGTATGTATTATATTACCGTTATTCTCACCATGCTGTGTCCATATTAAATAATAAAAAAATTTAGCCACACGTACAAAATTATAACGATTATTAAAAAAATAAATAAAACTATGAAAAAGTTATCAACCACGTATGAATATTAAAATATAATAGCTTTATGCTTTCTCTTAATTTGTTGACTTCACATCTTAGGTTGTGTTTGGGGCAGCTTAAATTTTTCTCATTTGTCTTTTTAAAGCTCCTCTCTTAGGCTTCTTTTGAGAATTTTTTTTTTGTTATTTTTTAAAATGAAATTTTAGTAGACTTTTTTAAAGAATTAAAAAATATTGGTAAAAAACTATCATAAATGAAACCTCCGCAATAATTTCAAAACCATTTTTTAAATACAATTTTTAAGGGTAAAATTTTGAAAAAATGGTGAAGAAGCTTTCTTTCAAATACATATTATTATTTTTTAGGAATTACTTTTCCTATCATAAAAACAACCAAAAGTTGTCCCTAACGAATCCTTAAGCTTAAGCTGCATTTGAGACGTCCTTCTTATTGCTCTTAAAAAAGCTTTTTAGTACCAAACTTAAGAATCAATAAAAAAGCCGTTCCAAATGAAGGCTTCGTTTGGGACGGCTTTTTTTATTGCTTTCTAAAACGGAGTTTTAGTACAATTTTTTTTATTTTTGTATTAAAACTCCGTTTTAAAAAGCAATAAAAAAGCCGTCCCAAACAAAGCAGAAGTCTATGACAATTTTTTTATTACTTCTTAAACTTATTTTTTTCAATTTTTTGTGGTAAAAAATTACTTTAAGAAGTAATTAAAAATGTCATCCCAAACGAAGTCGGGACAGCTTTCTAAAATAATTATCTGGTATAAAAATTTCTTAAACTAAAAAAAT